TTCATCACAGGAATCTTACACTTATCATTATTTCTAAGATAAGTTCAAGTTAACACCACCAATCTGCTCTGAACACAGCTTAGCTCGCCAGCTAAAAGCATTATCTGTATCAACAGGATAAAACATACCGGTGCTTATTCTTTGAAATACTTTATATCCAACTAGGAACTTTATAAAGGCTCCCTTTACAAGCTAGGATTTCTTTTCTCTTTTCCCCAACTTCCAATATATCATCACTTGTTTTTCCTTTGGATGACAGGACTAGGGCAGTGATCATCCCCCTGTACTCGGCACTGGTGAGTCCACACCTCGAATACTGTGTTCAGTTTTGGGCCCCTCCCTACAGGAAAGACATGGAGGTGCTGGAGTGTGTCCAGAGAAGGGCAACGAAGCTGGTGAAGGGCCTGGAGCACAAGTCTTATGAGGAGCAGCTGAGGGAACTGGGGCTGTTAGTCTGGAGAAGAGGAGGCTGAGGGGAGACCTTATTGCTCCCTACAACTGCCTGAAAGGAGGTTGTAGCAAGGTGGGGGTCGGCCTCTTCTCCCAAGTAACAAGCGATAGGACAAGAGGAAATGGCCTCAAGTTGCACCAGGGGAGGTTTAGGTTGGATATTAGGAAAAATTTCTTCACTGAAAGGGTTGTCAAACGTTGGAACAGGCTGCCCAGGGAAGTGGTTGAGTCACCATCCCTGGAGGTATTTAAAAGACATGTAGATGTGGTGCTTAGGGACATGGTTTAGTGGGACTTGGCAGTGCTAAGTTAACGGTTGGACTGGATGATCTTAAGGGTCTTTTCCAACCTAAATTATTGTATCATTCTATGATTCTATATGCTTATGAAGGACCCCGTAAAAGAGTGCATGCACCAGTTAAAGAAAGCAGAGTCCATCATAAAGCTGTCTGGACTGTTTTGGAAAGGATACAAAGTTAAATTAAATATTCCAGCCTTAGAAGCTGTCACTGCAAAGGAAAGCTGTGCCATTGATCTGGTACCAGGTATGACTTACAGCATGTGAGCATGATGAATGTGGCTCCCTTAATTACAGTGGATTAAAGTAGGAAGAGTTCTACTGATGTCTAGAGTTGTAGCAGGAGCAACTCAGCGAGGGGACGAGGAGACTCAGGTCCTTCCACTGCAGGAAGATGGTGTCACACTTCAGTGATGGCTTGACAGGAAGAAAATTCCAGTACTCAGACATGATAAATCACATGCCTTGAGCTGAGCATACAGCTTGCAGTCAGCACTTTCCTGTGAGCAGTGTGTGTAAGCGCCGGGACCATGGTGCGAAGCATCTGCTCACAATCTTCCAAGCTTACTAATGATCGGAGCATTTGCTGTCTTCTGATGAATAATGCCAAATGACTATTTTAAAGGCAGTTAGAGGGTCAGGAGAGGTGAATCATGTTGACATTTGCTAAGGTAAGAGAGCAGGAAATTGCTTCCAAGCACTTTTAAGAAAACACTTTCTTTCAGCCCTAGACAGCAAGTCCCTGTTATCACTCATATAAATAAACTGAGAACCAGATTTGATTCAACAGTTTGTCTAGCCTCCATCACAGTCAGATTCATTCTTGTCTACTGTCTCAGCAATGCCAATTGCTCTACCTACACATCCCAGTGGTTACATCCTTCTTGCATAGAAGAGGCTCTCACTAATCTTTATTCAACCAGAAAAATAACCATGTATGTGAGAATTAATTACACAGCCTCCGTTAATTATTTACCTGTTGTGATAGGAGCTACAATTAAAATTAAGAAACTGGTTTTACTGCTCATTTTCTTATGTTCCTGTCCCAGATAAGAAGGAAAGAAGTACTGCTTTCAAATTATCTCAGTGTTCTGCTCACACTGAATTTTTTTTTTTGCTATGTACTCAAATTAATTGTTTAAAAGGTGAGCTTTTCCAAGAGTAAGTCTCTGCAAACTTATTTTCAACAAAGTCCTCTTTAATAATTCCCCAAGACAGTAACATCTAGACTTTACCCCTACACCGTGATCCTGACAGTCCGATCTGCCCCTGACACACATGCCCTGTGAGGTTACCACTGAAAAAGCAGACTGCACATTACTCAGCCATGCTAAGGGACCAGGACTAACACCAATTTAAAAGCACTCTGAAGATGAAAAAGGATTCATAACTATTTCTTAGAACACATACTTTGTGTCATGGTGAAGTAAGTATTGAATGCCTAATTTGTTTTTTTACAATATTATTATGCACATGATAAGATGAAAAGTCTTTGCTTTGCATGAGTCCTGCCTTATCACTCATAGCACTTGTTTCTGAGAGTTAGCATTCAATTATTTTAAAATGCAAACAAAAAAAATGGTAACTAATACTGGATGTATTTACAGTTTAATTTGTTCTAAATTCTCTCCATGACCAAATGTGCAAAGTGCCAAGTACCGTCTCTTCCCAGCAGCAGTTAAAGGCACTCAGAACCTCCCTGACAGCGCCTAGCATCTCGCAGAATAAGGCACCTGACACCAAAAAAAAGCACTTTGAATGTCACTGAAACACAGTAATCTCTCAACTAGAATATGTTAGCTGTTTCACAGAGTGTACCAAGTCTGTTTAACAGTTTGAGATAGAACAGACAGACATGCAATGCATGTATCTCCAAAAGGATTTTAAGTCAGCAGGGTACAATGGTCCAGACCGCAACATGGGCAGAATATCACCTTACCATATTCCCCTGACATGGAAGGTAAATCACATCTGTAATTATTATACAAGGTCAGATTTCAGTGTTGTGCCTCCTGTTGAAGAAAGTCTCTCTAACTGCATAATCCCATAAAAATGTCACAGGTTTATACTATATATTACCAGCTGAAAGGAAACTTATTATGAACCTGAATGCCATCTGTCATGCCTTCCACCCCAACATGAGCAGCCTACCAAGACTTCAAATAGAAGAGCAAAGAGGGTTTCAGCATTACAAAAAGTACAGCCCCGAGTGTTGTGAGCGCTATCTAAAAGTTCAGAAAAAAAAGCTCGTACTCAACTAGCAAAAATGTCATCATGGTATCAACAGCTGCTTTATGTTAGCTGGGCCAGAATCAGCAAGGCTTTCAAACTGGGAGAGACCTCATGAGTTGCCTGGTCAGTCAGGCCAGGTTGCTCATGGCTTTACCCAGTTGGGGTTAGAAACTTCCAAGGGCAGAGACTGCAGACAGGTTGCCTCTCTGGGCAAGCTGTGTCTCTGCCTGACTGTCCTTATGGGGAAAAATACCCAGTCTGAATATCTGCTGTTCCAACTTGGGCCTGCTGTCTCTTGCCCTCCCATGCTGCACCACTGTGAAGAGCCCACCTCTGTCTCCTCGAGGACCTCCCCATAGGCACTGGGGGCTGCTGTTAGGTCCTCTCAAAGCCATCTCTGCTCCAGGCTGAACAAGCCCACCTCTCCCAGCCTCTCCTCACAGGGCAGGTATACCAGCCCCCACCACCTCAGTGGCCTCAACTGAAATCCCTCTGGTTTATCAACTTCTCCATGGTTTTGGGCTCCCAACATTGGATTCAGTAATCCAGATGTGGTTTATGAGTACTGAGTAGAGGGTGATAATGAGTCCCTTCGATCTGGCTCTCTGCTCCTATTCATACAGCCCAGGCTGCCATTGCTGTTTTCGCTGCCAAGACTCGCCACTGGCTCATGTCCCATTTGCTGGCTACCAGGAGACCCAGGGCCTTTCGCACAGAGAAACGACTGCAACAACTCTCCATTTGCAAACTCCTTGAAAGCAGCAGATGGCAAATGACAGTGCTCCACAGCAGATGCTAGACAGCAGTGGGCACACAGACAGCTATGACAGTTCAGCTGCTGTGCTGCAAGCAGGTAAGCTGTGGTTACTTGACCTCAGGACTGAGACCAAATATGCATAATTCTGATAAACTCACATTGACCAACATGACCATGTTGGTATTACTTTCTTGTTAGTAGATGGCATAATTGCATACAATTAATATATGAGAACACCTCATGTCTTAGAACTTACTTAAAGAGTTATTGTCAATTGTTACAATCCTGGAAGTAGAGCTGCGTAACATCAGCTTTGCTACACTACAGATTACTACCACAAATAAATCAGGAATTACTGCTTTGAAGCCATTACCTTTAAAAGCAGTTACTACTTTTCCTCCTCACAGTTCCCTGTAAAATGCAGTTGCCCAGTCGTTAAAGCTCAATCTGTAAAGTTTACTCTAAAACAAAGAATATGATCAGTTTCATAATGAACAGTTAAAACAACCTGAGTCAAAAATTAACTTTTCAGTGTCAAGCTCTGCACCTTTTTTTTTGCCCTTTTTTTTTTTGCCCTTTTTTTTTTTGCCTTTTATGGTTGATTTGTATCAGCAATACAGTTCTGACTGAAAAGCAGTAAAGCTTACTAACAACTTGGGAGGGACAATAAGCTGGATAAATCATACAAATGGATGCAAATAGCCAGCTATCTAATTTTGATGCCTATTAAGACAGTTGCACTTTAGTGATGGATGACATCATCTTGACATGAAACAATTCTAAAAGTTCATTGCAGGAAGCATTCAATATGAATGGAAGTTTCCAGAATGTTTCATGTCTCAGGTACATCCTGCTCTGTGTTTCTCAGGCCCTCTATCCACCAGACCCATAGATGGTAAGAATATCTGTTGTTCTGTAGAACCCCTATAAAACCACTTGACATAATTCCAAGACCAAGGCCTGCACAGATGCAAGTCCATTTGGACTCAAAGCATTTGATACTTCCCTAATCCCTAATCACTGTGGGTATTGCACAATACACCTCCACCGACTCCACAGAAAAATCAGTCTGGATTGTCTCAAAAGCACAAAATATATGTAAAAAGGGAGACAAATGTAGTAACAGTGCACTGATACATAGCTGCCTACATTCTGAATTTCCTTTGTTGGAGCAAAAATTCCTTGGTTCATTGTTGGTATTAGGATCATCAGTAAACTTTCCTTCCAACTAAAGGAAACAGATTCCCTTGAAAAAATACATACCAAGTACATTAGCCGTACACTGGAGAATTCCTGAGACATCTTCAGCTTCTTCACTGCCAGTACAGTCTGTATAGGAGCATCTGTTTGATATATTGTGAAAGTTCTTCTCTGCATCCCTGTAACTACAGTAAAAAAAAGTAAAAAAAAGTTATAGCATCTCCTTATACAAACACAACATCAACAAATGTCTTTCAGAAGTGGTGGTAAAGGATGCCTTTAGCTTCCCTTGTTTCCTCCTTCTTCTCCCCTCCATCACCCCCTTTTTCCCTTTGTGCTTTATTACACACAGATGGTAGCCTGGTTATCTCAAGTATTATACAAGAATCTGGAATATTATCTGTAAGGAGAATGAAGACATAAGAAAAAAATAGTGCCAAAGGGGTGAGGCATGAGGGAAGGGTATCATACATAGCTGTCATATATCATTCCAACTAGGGTGTTATCTATAACAAAGTTGTACAGTAAACTCCAAGCAAGATGTTTATGAGGCAATGCTGAGTATTTATTAAGAATAATAAATCTTCCACATCACATTAGCACTGCAAGTATAAAACCTAGCTTTCTCTGTGAATTAACTTCTGAAAAGATCTCAGCAGAAAGAAGGATGTCAAGCTGCAACTCACTATGCTACCAAGAATAAACTTTTTCTTATATCCTGTTAAAGTAAAATTTAAAAGAATCCCACCACTGATGAAAGGCACAGAGCTATGGTCCAACCAGTAAGAAATCAGCTACCATCTAAATTATTCTATTTGATTTAGTTTTGCCGGATTGTTTTTCCTTAATTCAACAGGAACAGAAGAGAAGCTGAAACTATGTTTAAAACAAAGTTTTATGCAGGTGATAATGAGGACAGAAGAGGGATTACAAGAGAAGAAAATACTGCAGCAGCGTGATAATGTACTTGGCAAAATATACAATTGATTTAGCTCAATGCACAGAGAACAGCTTTTCTAATGAGTATTTCATGAACAGTTTTGTTATGCTTTTATGCTTTGTTTGTACTTCATAAAACGTGAAGAGCAGTTTTAAGGATTGGACTCTTCATCTGGTTAAGGTCTGCAAAATCTCAGCACCTGGGTTGCCAGCACCTGTGGAAAAGGACTAGAAAGGATTCAGAGCTGCACATCAGGTTACCCCCCAACAGGGAAACTGGTTCTCCACATGGAGTAAAGCATATTGGGGAGAGTGGGCTCTTATTAAACAAGGAAAACCCAGAGATAGGGGCTGCTGGTGTCCTCTGCAGTGAGCTGCATGGTCTGTACAGATTTCCAGGTCTCCAGAAATGCCAGGCCACATGCCTGGCAGTAGGTCATGTCCTGACACACTGTCTGAGCTGACCCAGAGCCCAAAGTCACAGCCCAACCCCACCGCCATGCCAGGAGGCCAGGCCTCTTCAGCCAGTGTCACCGACTCCCTGAATGACACCATGGCCACTCCTCACCTCTGATCTTGAGGTTCAACAAGGCTGAGTGCTGGGTCCTGCACCTAGGTCACAACAACCCCATGCAATGCTACAGGCTTGGGGAAG